AAAAAAGCGTGGGAGACTAGCGCCGAGTAGGGTACAGCCTATGCACAGAATCGCAGAGTCCGGTCGAGCAGAGACCACTTCTTAACAGACGGTCCGTCCATGTCTCCATCAGCAGATTACGACGCCTTCTCAGTTCTTACTTAGTTAGAGTTGATTGATATTCATAGGGAACTGATCCTAGAAAATCCGCAGTAACAAGTGTTGGGCTACGCCTTCGGGGATTTGGGGGATAAATCGATCTTGTGAGTTCCATAAGATCTTAGTTCGAGCGTTCTCCGGAATAAAAAGTAAAATACAAAAATAATCGAGGTACTTAAGACGTCGATCCGAATCAACGGAGACGGGAGCCAATATCGCTCCATGGGATTCTAGTCTCTTGGAGATACCTACCAGTCTCGATGCTGAATAGGTGTGTGAGTTGTGTTGTGGCCGTTATCCCCGAATCGAGTCGAATACCCAGTGTCAGTCTATTACTCTAATTTGCATATATCGGTGTCATCCTCTCCCCCTCCATATATCGGCGGCAGCGCGGAGCTTCTAGCCGCTCTGCGGAGAGTTGACTTATGAATTGAAGTCAGTCAGCCCGGAGGTCTATGTGTGTGTCGGTCCGTCAGTCAGTCAGTCAGTCTGCTAGGTGTGAGAAGGAGTGAGCGATGGCCCCGCAGGAGGGGAAGCTGTTCGGTACTCCCAAACTCCCGCTGAGCGAAACCCTGGTCGTCGGTCGCGAGGGTCGTCTATGGCGGCTCTCGTATTGCTTGTCCCTTGCGCTCGCTGACGCGGTTAGCTTTGATGGCAACTGACTCCTCGACTCGCTTCGAGAGAAGACTCGACTCAGAGACGCTCATCAAGCTCGGTGTCACTGGTTCCCTCGAACTCCGCTCCTCAGAGGAGCGGACTCCGATTACCTTCGGCTCGGGGAAGTGGAATTATCCCCTCTCTATTCCCAATGAAATGTCCCCAGAAGTCTAAGAGGATATTCAAGACCAGCCCGACGCTTTTCATGACAGTTTCGACTTCGGTCGGCGTCGGCTCATGTTTTCATGAGATGAGAGCGTTTGTGCCATACACAATATTTACCCGACAAGTGCGATCATCCGGGGACGCGGTGGATCTTCTTTTCCTTGTTCGCGGGGTATCATAATTCCTACACCCAACATTCCCCCCACCGGTCGGACGAACAAAAACTGTCCTCTCCTCAAAAGTAAACGAGGGAGATCGCTTACCGCCTGCGCGCCCGGGTTCGTACCTTGCTGTTCATAGCTATCGCCACCACCGCCGCTACTGCGAGCGAGCTCATCCGGAGAAGACACCAGAAGATTCATCAAACAGCCATTTGCATATGGGGTGTGACACTTCGCTGCCTGTCTCGGGTGTCTGCCGCTGCGTGTGGGCTCTGACATCGTTGCATCTGAAGCTGCTGCTGCTTGTCTCTGCCTCTCAGGGTGTCTCTTTGTCTCTCTAACTGTTTTATGACTCGGCCGAAGCAGATGCTCTCGCTCGTAGTAGAACGATCAGCATTGTCACCCGGTCGCTCGACTCCCACCCGCCTTCTACCCGTCGCCAGTTGATTACTCTGGCTCGGTCATTTTATTTGCCTGTTGGTCATTCAGTCACTTGATACCCGTCGCCCATCTTCTGTGTTCTCGCTGTTGTCTCGCTGCTGAACGATCGAGATTCCCTGCAAACGGAGGGCTCCCCGCCTTTCCAGCTTAGTTTTTCTAATCCGAAGAGTTTTTCTCGAACAAACACCACGTTGCCGGACCGCTCTCCGGACGTAGGTGTCGAGTCATCGGTGCGGTTTCGATCGCCGGCGGTGATAATAAATTGCGCTTTCAAGACAAAATGATGGTGGTCTCATAGCGATTTCTTCTGAACGGAGTCTACTGTGGCGTATTGCGAAGGCTGGGCCATTACTGTAACCCGTTGATATCAGCACAGGGAAACTATAGGAAAATAGCGGTTGGGCGGGGGGCTCGTGCATCAGGCTTAACCATAACCACGACACGCCACGCTCCAGGAGATTGCTATTCGATGGCAACACTATTCTTCCGATGTTTGCCGAATCGCTTCGGCATGAGCTCCCCCACGGCGGACAGTCAGCGAACTCCCGTAGAGATTGAGGAGTGAGCGTTCACTACCTGAACGCCATGGCCGAGACCGGGGATACCTCGGGAATCCCATTGTCAAGAATCGAGCGGTCTGTCAAACGGGAGCGTTTACCTCCTTTCGGAGTTCAGGAAGCGTGAACAACGGGCGCCAATTCGGAGCAGACGGACTCCCGTCACGCCAAAGAATCGCAAAGGAACGTCCCCGCATAAACGGTTTGGCTGTTCTGCATCCTGTATGAGATCTGTATCGGCGAACGAGTGCTTCCGACACAAATCTCGCCTGCATCGGGAGAGCGGGTGTCTCAGGTGCACTTGTAATCCGTGTACTCATCGGGGAACAGGCGCTTTTTCTCTCGGCTTCTTCTTGCCTGTCTCTCTGGCTGTTCACGTTCACACAACTCACATGCGGAGCTTGGTCGTGCTTGTTGTCTCGGTACTGCAAATATCGAGAGAGAACAAGCCTTGGTTGTTTCGCGGGGACGAAACGAGGACCTCGGTGGAGCACGAGAGGCTCTTAAAATAACAATTCAGGCACGTATCTGCATAATGATTGGAAGCGAACAACTCGAGTGAGATCTCCTATGTGTCTCCACAAATATTTGCTTTAGTCAGCCCAATCAGAGGGCCATCAATCGGTGCTCGTTCCTCAAGTTCGCCTCCAATAATTCAAAAAGGATTGCAAGGATTGCACCGGCGAATCAGATCTGAGTGAGATTGAACAATTCCGAGATTCTGTGAAGACTCAACTCTTTTCGACATCAGCGACTTTCCGAGTCTGCGCTCAGAGACGGCCAGGAGCTGGGGTGCTCGACTCCTGGTCAGGGAGCCGAGGGCGTCGCGATCGAGAGCGCGAACTAGAGAACAAAAATTGTTCTGGGGAATCAAGCGCCGCGAGAAGGAGGGGGCATTGTTGTATTATAAAGCAATATCCGTGGGTTGTCCATTTTGTCATTTCCTGGGGTGCGGTGTGGAGTTTCCTCCTGTTGAGGGAGATCCGTCTTCATTTAGCGGCTCCCCGTCCGCCCCGGCGCTACCACCTACCCTGTCCACCAACACCTTCTCTGGACGTGCCGAGACTCACTGAACGGCGGTGGCCAATATTGGCTTCGGCCAGTTGGAACTCGCTCCATTCAAGACAAAAACATCGGCTCGGATTTCGAAACACCAGCCTCGTTCAGTTACTGTCGGCCGCCGTCAACTGTTGAGCCTCGAAAACAAGCAATATAGCGAGAGTTGATCAAACGCAGTCCACTGTTGCGTGGCCCTGCAAGAACGCCGCGTGCTGCGGAGGCGGAACAACGCAAGTTCGATTGAATCTGGAGCGGCTCCGTTCGTTAGGTCGGACAAAATTCAGAAACCCTCCAAACGTTCTCCCAGGATCCGTGTTGCGGTCTTTCAGGATATGAATGAGAGTTTCCCGCTGAGTGTACAGGAGAATCTCTGTTATCTCGGCAGGAGTCCCACAGTGACTGCGGGCCGTGGCGGCGGCAGCGTCCAATAACACTTAGGCAGGTGTTGCCGCTTTTTATTAGACTTCACCGTCTATCAAGGGTTATTCTGTAGAGGAGGCCCCGAGAGTGCGTTTAGCTGGTGAGGTTTATTCTTGGACGCTTTAGCTACATTGAGGGCAGCTCGTTCCCGGTGAGCCTTCCAAAGTACACCTCATATCACCGCCACAGGCTGCCCCGCTAGCTCGCGATCGTAGGGGGACCGACCTTCCTCCGAGCAGGCTCGAATGCCATTGAGTCGGGAAGGAAGTTCGAGTTAAAAGTCGATCCGTGTTAGGAATGAGATGCTTTTGAAAACGCGTTCGATCGCGATCGAATCGGAGCCAGCGATGTGTAATTATTGCTGTACATGTGTATGTGCGCTACTCCATGCGCGAACGCTTCAGCATGCTGCGAGAAGAACACACATACATATGCATGTAGGGAGCTCGAAACGATTGCTGCCACCAGCCATGATTTGTTGAGACGGGTCGCCTTTAAGGTCACCTAGTGTTTCACCCGCCCCTCTATTAATGTTTGTGTTCGGGTCAATTGGGACAAGACACCTGTGTCGTGTGTGTAAGAAGTACAATTTAAGATCGTGTACCATTCACCGGAACAAATCGTCGGATAATGACATGCACCGCTCCTGGGCTGGGTCAGGTGCAAACCTTCGTGCAATTTATAGATGCTTGCGCCGCTCGCTCCCGGTCCGTGTTTACATAGAAGATAACAACGTTCTTCCTCCCTTAAGCGCCCACAAGCCGAATTCTCTGTCCTCTGTTTGTTCAGAGAAGATTCGCCATCGCATCCTCATCATGTGCCACTGAGTGAGATTCGCGTTCTCCCCTTGTGATGATCTTTTAGCGTTTCGCTCTCTCGCCACCTGCCATGTTAAGCCGTGTTTTGCTTCAGCTACCGCACAAGACTCGATATCGGGAATGATAACAGACAGGTGACCCAAAGATATCGGGTTCCGAATCTAAATCGAGCATCCGACTGATTGAACCGGAGCAACACTTGGGCCGAAGTCGTCGAGAAAACGATTTCCCTCCTGAGGTGAATGGAAAGCCCACCCGAATCAGAGTAGCCAAGCATTCGAGAAGCTCTTGGCTATTTGGGCGTCGTAGGTCACGATTCTGATATTAGGAGCTCGTGATCGCCGAGATATAACTTAATTATCAACTTCCTTTAACTCTGAGTGAGCGATCTGAACACACCCAATCTAGAGCGCACATCTGCTCCGATGCTCATCGCTACTGACTTGTAGCGATTCTCTAGTCGCGAATATCAGCGGAGCCCTCGCTAGCATCGCGACGGAAGCGTACCGAGTACCGAAGATCTCTCGGACGAGAAACTGCGATCTTTTGGTCGGGCTGAGAAATGTTTCTTTGTTTGCACTCACTCTGACTCTGGCCTCGGTTAGATTTGTCCACATGGCGATTTCTTCTCGCGTAGACATATCTGGATAACGGTTCCTTGAGAAGGTTGCTTCCAACTCCTGCAGTTGTTGCGACGTAAAGTGCGTCCTCTGTCTCCGTTGCCTCTTCTTGCTACCCCCTCCGCCCGAACTAACGACCCCACCTGTCGCGGATGCGCCTGAAAACAAAACGGCAGAATGAGAGAGAAACCACGCGAACCCATTGGAACTATCGTCCGTTCTTTGGGGCCTGGTCCGAGAGTTCGGGCTCGGATCGGAGGGACTTTCAATGAACTCACAGTATTTGGCCTGAGTGGGGTTGAGGTGGCTTGAGGGGGAAGACGGAAGGGAAGTTTTACTCCCAGGCTTCAGTGAAACCAAAGAGTCGGAAGCGGCGTCTGGACCTCCGATCTGCTGTGAGGAGTCCAGCAACCTGCCCGAATCAGGAGGCAAACTAACTAGACCTCCATCTACACCGCATCCTTTGAGGCTATCCATCGATGGTGAGGTTTGACTAGGCACTGAAATGGAAAGAACGAATCATTGGATGGTCAAAGAAGGTCATCGTTCCCGCTCTCGTCATCATTCTTGCATCCACAGCACATACGAGCGAAGACGCTCTCTGATAGGCATTTCCACATGGGAAGCTTTCCAGCGTTGACGTAACCCCGCACCCTTCCAACGAGGTCCCCTTAAAATTTCGACTAGGAAGTCTCCCGACCGGGATGAGGGTCCGAACTCCGGATGTTAACGCTCTGTGGACAGAGCGCACGTTCCGAGAGGAGGAGAGAGATTCTGAAGCGACTCCGAAATCGATTCGCCTGGCCTGTTTTGAGGCTCGCGTCCTCATCGCATTCGCGGCTTCTCGCATATGCTCTAATGGCAGCGCTTGCCGCAGCCGCCTCCCGCTCGTTCGACCGCGTGGAAGCCTCTCCATTGGCATAATAGGCCTCGGGGCATCCGGGTCTTCCATCACTTCGCTTATGGCGCGTGGCTTCTCTTTCTTTTTCCATAGCTCACTAAACCGCCCCCCGCATCAGCGAACTCTCCAGCTCGGCAAAGTCGAAACTCTCTGGCCGCTCGCGAGACTTTCTCCAACTTTCACCGAACATCAGAGAAGAGGGGAACGGAGCGTTTTTTTCCCCTCCGGAATTACGCGGTCGATGTCCCCGTGACACCAAGCATCGTGGATCAGCGTTCCAGAAATTGTGAGCGATCGAGCTCCTGGAGAAACGAATCCAGAAAGGAAAAGGATTCCATGACCGGTCTCGCAGCTCCGATCACCAATTTCGAAGTCCTGGAGTCTTGGGACTCCAATCTATCGGTTTCGATTGTTTATTTGAGTTCGGCTCGCCGAGAGGGATCGTGAACTCTCGAGCCATGATTCGTCTAATGACGCTCACTTCCGACGGGGAGAAACCGAATCGAGTGTTCATTCAGTCCAAGATTTCAGAGCGGCGGTGGTAGTGGTGGCGACGGCGAGCATTACCCCAGGAGCAAAGGCAGGAGAGCAGGAGCTGGCGCCTTCCTCGCCGCCGCCGTTGCCACCGCTGCTGCGGCGGCGGCGGCGGCGGCGGCAGCCAAAACACAAATCGATTTGTCCGCCATCATGGCGGTGGTGGTCCCCAGGCACCGCCCTTCGTTCGCTCCGCCCGCTCGCTGCCAGCCTGCTGAACAGAGATACTTGCTCGCACACACTTTGAGCGAGTGGGGCCTCCGCTTTCCGTCCCTGACGACTGACTGGGAGGAAAAAGAAGCATCAGCAGCCATTCATCAATCCATCGATCCTCTTCACCCGATCCATTCACTGAATCTTCCCAGCTCGCACCATCAATTCGTCCGATCGCAGTCTCAGCCGTTCCGTCTCCCACTCAACGGCGCGGACGGAGTGACCTGTCTCTGATCTATATCGGCTTGGCGAGCTCTTGAATTGAAACCGCGGCCCTCCTGAGAGTCCTCACTGCTCTTCCCCGCCGTTGAAATGTCTTATTCCCCATCAGCATCGACCCGCCTGAGAACGCTACCGTCAGTTGGATCCGATCTGAACTTCTGAGCTCGTTACCCTTGAATTCGGAATCCGGACCCGAAATTACGATTCCATGTTGCGACATTCCTCCGGAAAGCGCACCACAATCGAAATCGAACGCGGCGAGAATGCCCTCCGGACGACCTCTCGGCACTCCGAGTCATTTAATCCAACGGAGACGCGCCGACTCTTTTCGCCGTGTGGCCGAGGATTTACGCCATGTCCGCTAAGCCACTGCCGTTTCGAAGAGTTCCTTAGACTACTCCTCATGATCTCGAAATGGTTCCACATTTTTCGATGAATCGCATTCCGTGGACAGCGGCGGAAAAATCCTGTACGTTTCAGATCGGAATTTCGAACCTCCTACTATAGCTAGCAAGAGAAGAGATCGATCTTGAGCCTCGCAAGCGTTATTTCCATCGCTCCGGACACCGCCGGCGCCGTCCTCATATTCGGTCGCGTCGGCGAGTGATTAACGAACTTCAATCGACAACTGCTCCAGCGACCTACGAAATCGGCAAGGCAATGACGGTAATTTCTGAACGTTCAGATGATGCCAGTCGAGTCATAGACCTACAAGAACAAACGAATCCTCGGTGCGGTTCCCGGGCCGCAGGAGAAAGAGATCGGAATTGATGCAACCGCAGTAGCCAGTATCGATGTTGTCAATTGGAGGCTGCTGGGGACCAAGAAGAAACAAAGAAGAGAAACAAGTACCGTCAGACAAGCCCCAGCCAGGCAGCCATCAAGCCAAACAGCCAGTCAAGCAGGCAGGCATTGGAAGAAGAGGTTGAGCCATCAGTGAGTGGGATTAGAGGATTACGACAACGACGACGGAGGAGGAGAGGAGATGCTTCGGGAAAAGTCAGACAGACCGAGAGCGGCCCAGCGAATGCCCGACCGAATGACTGACTGACACTCGCTGACTAAGGCACTCACACGCACGATACTCTCCCTCCCTCCCCACCGGTTCGACAAGCGGCTTCATTTGTTTGTTCCGTTTCAGTCTGGAGACATGCCCTGATCGAGTTGCTCGGCGACTACGCATGCCGTTCAGCTCGCCGGAAAAAGTCCCATCGCAAACCCTCATGGGAGTCATCGGGACATCATGCTTGCACATGGGGGAATATCGATTGGTGGATTATCTTGCTCGTGTTCGGAACGATGGAATTTGGCGGGATGGAGTGCATTGTGCCCGGAAAAGATGGAGCAGGGATCCAGGATCTCTGAAAATTTCTCAGAGGTTTTCCACATCGTCTGCGACACTCGTTCGGGGGAGCAGGCGAGCGACCGGCCGGTAGCCTCGTCGAGCTTAAAAGATTCTTACGTAACTTGTTTGAAATCGGACACTCGTTAGTTTCGACGCCCATGAAACCAGCCCGTCAACCAGTCAGTCAAAGAGCGGGCGAGCTAGCCGGCTGTTTACATTTCAACCCCGTGTTCGTCGTCGATGTCTGGAACCCAGGGCGCCCGGTACCGCATTCTGTCCGTTGAACGGTCCGGTAAGCCGCTCACTCAGCGTCTCTAATCGATTCATAGGAAATTCATCGTGGATTCGTAATAGATCCAGGAATCCGAGTTCATATGTTTTCCAAACTAGCCGTCTTTCTCCTCGAGGCACGTGTCGAAAATCACCCACACAGAGATTTCCAAGAAAAAAAAGATGAGAGACCAAATATCGTAAGAACAATGGACTCGGCAGAAAATCTCAGAGTGTTTCTCACGTCCTCGTACCGGACGCTGTAAGCTCGGATCGCGCGGTGAGTATTTAAGATCCTAGTCAAGCTTTCCAACTTTCGAGGCGGAAACTCAAAGACTCTTGAGAAGGAGCACAAAGCCGACTCCTAGGAATTATGCGAGTGCATCTGCCGCTTGCTCTGTCACAACAGAAGCGGCAGAAAATAAAAAATCGTACTTTATTCCAATTCGGAAAAGGGAAACGAACGACTGTGGTAATTCCGAATGATTTACAAGTTTTCGCGGGAATGGAATGAAACGTTAGCGAAGGGAGAATCACGACCCACGATTTGTCCTCAGAGGGAAGCGACCCGCCTAGCAGACGGGCAAGCGGTCTGTCACTCTGGGCGCGTCTGAGAAATCGTTCGCACCACAGTCGGTTCCGGCACTGGAGCTCGAGCTGAGGTGGAGCGACGGAGCTCTCTGATGAGCCGAGCGGGGAAATTATGGATGTGGAGAAAGGTTCAGAAAAGGTGTGGAAATCAAATCCCCGCTCCAGCCAAAGCACGTTGCGAATTGAACACGAGAACACGCTGCGGATCGTATGTCGAGACAGAACACGCCCGAACGGCTCTCCCCCTCGTCTCGTTCATAGAGTTCTCTCATAAGCGTCCCCTAGAGCTTTCCGTCTCAAGGGGCGGCGATTTCGACTGTTCCTCGTATTCCAAAAGGAGAGAATAGTGGAAAATGAAAATGTAAACGATTGGTAGCATGCATTCGCTGCACCGATAGGACACAAACGGAATATAGGAGGGACGAGAGGGCGGTTTTGCTGGATACATCTGTTTGACTAAACCCTCCTGACTAATGGCGAGAACGCTGAACGTCAACCACTGAGACAGCTGACTTAGTGTGTCTGAGCCAGCCCGCGCTTGTTCGTCGCTTCATGAAAAGCCAGAGTAGACCAGACTCCCTCCGAATTTGACATTGAATAAGCAAATTTCCGAAGCGACTGGCCAGGATAAGACTGATCGCCTAATAAAGAATCGAAGCGCTCAACACCGACCGAGCCCCAGCCGAGCAGTGAGTGGCCCATCACAAGATCATTCAATACATGATTCGATTCGCCCACTCGAATTGTCCCAGCCGCTGTACACTTCATGATGTTGGAATTATTTTTCTTATCCCGTCCTTATTTGAGAAAAATACCTGAGGGAACTTACATTTTGACGGACAAAGATAAAAATCTGTAAGGGTAAAAAAAAAAAAGTTTAGTGATAACTCGCTGCGGCAACCTTCTCTGTCCCAGAGCCGCTCCTTGAAATACTACACTCTCATATAGAAAGACTCTTCCCGAATATCAGTATCGCGCCCGTTCATCTTCTTGATGAGTTCCTTGTAGTAAGACCCCGAAATTCTGAATCTTCCACGTCTCTGCAACCGACATCGCGCCCGCCGGTGAACCCTAGCGCATGACCTTCGTCGGGGCTTCATGTTTGGGAAGAACGAGATCGCGGATTTTGAAGAGCCGAAGCTCCGAGACCGGATCAGAAGTCTTCGGAAAATCGACTCTCCCGTAGGTTGAGCTAGCGCAGGCGAGAATGCACCAAGATAAGCCACAATAGAGGCCAAGCCCGGAAGGGAAACGAAAGTCGGGACAACAACAACAATAATTACCGAGTTCGCTTCTCACTAGACGAAACTCGTTTGCTACTTTCGAGCTGCTTCGCTCTGCTAGCAATGCTTTGCTACCCTGAGCGCCCCGCGCACCCGCCGCCAAAGCGACGGAGCGGCAGGAAGGGGGAAGCGGCTCGAACGAGCCACTGGAGGGAGGAAAGCCGGCACTGGGGAAAAACGGGAGTAAAGAGGTTGGGGCATCCTACCCTAGCTGCCAGCCGCCCGCCCGCCTGCCCGACCAACCAGCCAGCCAGCCAGCCGACGGACCAGGCAGGCGGGCAGGCAGAGTAAGAAACGAAGGAAGGAAGGAAAGGAACGAGCCAAAAGCGGTGCGCCTTCGTAAGCTCTAAATCCCTCCCCATTTGGGAACCCCTCTCTTTCTCCTGCATTTCTCCGCCGGAGCTCCTCTTCTTCTTGCCCGTAGTCCTGCTCCTGTTCGTTTCCCCGGACTGCTCTCTGTACGTTCTCTCGAGCAGTCCCCCACTCCTGAGCGACACCGACGGCAGCGAGGGGAGAGACACACGCTGCTCTTCGTACATTCTTCTACATTCTAGTTGCTTGAAGCTTTTCAAAGCAGAGGCAGCGGACAGCCCGTCCGCGACAACTGAGAGCGAGGAACCATGGGCGGACATTCCTCATTCCGTCGTCATACTGTGTTGTTGTATCCGACATAGAGCCCCTTGTTCCGGGAGAATTCTCTCTCTCTCGCCGACTCTCGTTCGCCGCCCTCAGGGAGACCCTATCGAGTCTCCGGATCGCTACAAATAATGCACCTTTAATGAGTATCCTCTCAACGGGAGGGAAGGTGCTTCGTTAAGGGACGGAGAGGTCTCGCGAGGCTCGCTGTTGAAAGGAACTCTTGGGAAACACTTTGCGAACGACAAGTGCCACTTTCAACAGGAAAGGAGACTTTCACCCTAGCGTGTATCACAGCGCCAGGCAGCCGGGCGAGCGAACCAGCCGTGTCTTTCCCAAGGACCGTTCCATTCCAGTTTCGGTGATGCTAGAATGCACTTGGAACTGCCAACGTAAATACAATGAGACACCGCAGCTTAGACACACGGAGTCGCGCACACGAGAGCGACCGAGCAAACGAACCAGCGAACCAACCAACGAACACTAGCCACCTATTGAAAGTAGTCATAGGCAACCAATCTGATAACATTCACTTCCATCATCAGTGACAAAATGATGATCACCGTCACAACCGACATTGTTCCTTTGCGTACCACGGTACTTGGTATGGAAAGTTGCTTGGATGGACCACGAAGCAGTGGCGGCATCGTTCGCCCACCGCTTCGATCCGACCAGGGCTCAGAAAATATCCGCCTGAAGCCCTCAGATCGGAGCCACATTTTAAACTCGGAGCTCCTGGACGCTTTCTTCTTCTTGGAATGATCGAGCGAAGTTTCGTGTGGCGACTGTCGTTCTGATCTCGATTTTTCGCGAATACAATCTATGGGAAATCAGCACCTCAGTGTTCTACTCACCGCGGCCATCCGGGGCATACAGAGCGCCGTAGGGCGCGTAACTCAATCCTCGGTTGATCGGCGGAACGACTGGAAGAATTGAAGATCAAATTAGTCCTGGTTCGAGGTTCGAATTCCCGCATCAGCTTCTGGTTTTACCTAAGTACATTTTCAGCGACGATACTATCGATCTCGATAATTCCGGTTCGGGAAACAAGATCGCGGAATGAATCTGAACCCGGTTGCCGAGCTCCGTCCACACCCCTCACGTGCTGGTATCGAGAAGCAGTGGAGCTCAAAAGTCACAGTCAAGGTCGGGCGAACATCTCTCTACCTATGTATCCAGACCGCCAGATTCATGAACGTCATGAAATTCAATTTCGAATGGAAACATTCCCCACACCTCTTCGGATGTATTCCAGATATCAAACACAGAATCGATTCCTCCCTGAACAACGTGGAGGATACAGGGATCATATCGAAAGGTCGACGAGACTCGCAGCAAAAAATGGGAGCCAGACCGAAAAACAATCGCTTGCGCTCTATCCCGATGACGTCATGTCCAAACGGTCACGCCGAGTTCGATTGCCAGCCTTGTTTTTTTTCACCCAGATACCTATAGGAGACCTCCCACTCGGGAAAATCTGGCGGTTAGAACGAGTTAGACGCCTCTGAGATATGGCGAAGCACTTGCTCCATGGACAAGGCTCTCGATCCACCTGTCAATTCCGCGAAGGTGTGGAATCCTCCGGCTCATCCACTTTGACAGGATCAGGGAGCATGGGCTCCCGGGTCCCAGTGCGACTTATGTGCAGGACCGTATCCGAGCCACGCTCAATGAGGACATCGTACGTTTCGGCACGACATTTACCTGGTTCCAAGACGTGGTATTCGTTAGCAGAAGGGTAGTACATTACTCCGTGAGGTTCATGCGCTAGTTGAGACGTATAGAGGGCCGGCGGCATTCTCGGATGCCGTAGCTGGAGCTCGTGCACCTCATGCGCTCCAGGCATCAGAGGCACGTGCACATCACTCATTTCATGCTCAACACGTTCTTCGTGCTGGACCACTCCATCGTTCTGCTCGACGTTTGTGAGAGCGGGCCCCTGGGGAGCCGTATTCTCGGCCGACGGAGATTCAGGACGCGGATCTACTTCTCCCAACGTCACGTATTCTGCGGGCTCACTTTGAAACTCGTATTCTTGCTGACGTACTTCCGAGCCTTCAGCTTTGACAATCACAGCACGATGAGGATTCTCTAAGGGCACCATGTCCTCGGCCATTGTTCAACTTCCTTAGTTTGAATACAAACTAGCTGGCCGCTCGGATCCACCTCAGCAGACACGCCTCTGGCAAGCTCCACACATGCTTTCACGACGGGCTTCAAGAAATGTCGGGAGTCCGGCAGACCGAAAATCAGGTTTGTATCGAACAACGCCAGTCGCCGTTGTGCTCTTGGGCGAGCTTGTCGCATCCGCCGCCGTTGATCGCACAATAGCTTTCAAATGGAGAGCAGCCTCTCTCGTTGTTTCACTTTTGTTCCCTTATCTCTCGAATACTGATTCCCAATCGATGGATCGAGCGTCGACTCGACCGGACGTCAAGTTGCGTGAGGGTATCGCTCGTTACGAGCTGCCCGCAGCAACAGCGAGAGAAACTTCCATTGGAGTCTGCGGATGCTCTTCAGATCGGCGGAATCAGACAGACGAGCCCAGACGCGGCCTTCAGCACCGAATCCAGGATAATCCAGGATTTCGCCGGATCACAGGGTCGGGCTCAATGGTTTACCGTCTACGACGACCGTCGCGGCGGCACCTGCGGCGGATCTCACTCAGCGGCGACAAAGACTCCTCTGTTCGATACGGGAAGAAACAACGACCGAACAGAGTGTCAATGGACAGAGAAACGGTTGCGGAGAAATATTCTCGAGCGCATTGCAGCAGTCTCGGATCTTTCCAGATTCCCCCGCCGTTGCTTGCGATCGCGAGGAGTGATTTTCTGCGAGATACTGCCGATCGGGAGCAGCACTTCCTCCCTCTGATTCGGCAGAGACGCGCGTGCTCCATTGAATTCCCTCGCAGAGAGAGAGAGAGGGATTAGTCCGAATCGGGAAAATGCTCGGGTCGTCCAGCAGAGCACCAGTCGGATATTCGTCGAAATCGGTATCGTCCCAGATATCGGAATAATATCCCCTGCCCTGGGAATGGACAGGTTGTTGTCGAATACGCGGGGCATCTCAAAGCTAGATGAACCTGCCGCGAGCCGATGACACAATTCGTGGTCATTCCCAGGTTCTAAGAAGGACCCTCTGGGGAAGCCGGAGAGACGTCATTGACTCCGAAGGGCATCTACGAGAATCGCCCTGCTGCCATCGCTCAGCTCGTGCGAGTCCCTCATGCCGTAGAGAATTATTTAAGGCTCTCGCGTTAGACCTTCGTGAGGCGTCGACGTGAATTCCTGTAACGAGAAACTTCTGAATATTCCCCTGGAGCGGACCTCGTACCATCTAAGGTGATCAGATCGCTTCACGGGAAAAACTCTCAGAACCGAGTTTCAACCGAATTCTCGAGCGATGTTTCCGACGACGGTGGAACTTGGCAATCTACTCACGGCAAAATTCGAGAGCTATATCAAAATGGGACGGTCACAGCCGGTACTGTGTCAGGGATTGAGCTTTTGCACGGCGACGCACAAATCACAAGCGAGAACTCCCATCGCTCAAGGCCTTGTCATCACGTCATCGATTCTCAAAGTCAATTCAAAGTGAACGTCGGAGGGTCACCGAGGGGAAAGCTCCTGTTCATGGACAAGGTTTTCCGTGGTCCCTCAGAGAATCCTCACGAGATGTAAGGGGGATGAGATTGGGGTTTCCTGAATGCCGAAAGCTCCTTCATCCACTTTCAGGATTGGGTCTTAGTCGAATGATTCCATTTGGTGTTCCGGTGTCCAGGTGCCAATCAGTCTGGGGTTTACTTCGAACAAGGCGTCACGGAATCTAGCCGATTGAGCCTCCTTTAAGTCTTGGATAAAAGTCCTCGTCTCCCCCTTGTACATACACGAATCAGGGCAAGAACCGCCAAATCATTTAATACCTCGTGTAATAAGCTCGAGGAGGCAATCGAATGGATCTCAGAGCTGAGCTGCGGATCCACTCCTAGAGGTCCTGCATCCTCATTCGTAAAAGTGGTCGAACGGCGCTATAGGTGGCTGGAGGATGATCGCAGTCTTGAGCCGACTCGATGGTTCTATCATTCAATAATCAAAAGTCAATTCGATCGTTCCAGGTGTTTTCCGCTCGATGCGGATCTCGCAAGGGGTGTGTGGAGATTAGCAGATAACGCTTAGATTTCGCTTCGGGTCTCGGCCGTCTGCAGCGTTCCTCTCAATTCAATTGTCTATAAAATGTGGAAACGGCACACGGACCTTCAAAGTCGAAAGCACGAGTTCCCGTCGCTCCCAAAATTGCTGACACAGCTTTTTCATTGTTGGTGGCTAAGGAACGATAATTCGGCGCGAGGGTAAGACAGGCTGCGGAACATGTACACTATTGGCGATTCGAATCCGATCGCTCCCAATAGTCGAGCTCGGAATCAAATATCGTGAGATCTGGCGGACCTGAAGTTTTTCGATAGCCAGACTAGCGTGACTAGTCGCTGCTAACGAGATTCAAATTAGAATGCGTTAAAATGAAATGTGTCAGCTATCTGTTTTGCTCTAGTTTCTCCCTCGTTGTCCGTCGCCTGATAATAGATGTGAGAGCACTGTTCGCTCATGCTTGCTCTCTTTGGTGTTCATCCTCTCTGTACTCGTCGTCGTCCGCCGCCCTCGCTGTCTTCGCCTGCCGAGCTCGGTCGAAAGCAATCGGAAACTGTCATCCACTATTGCGTTGACATATTAGATAACTTAGATAAGTTGGGTAAGCGACACACGCGCACTTCGATAACGAGGTGAAAAGGACACGCGACCCCGGCAAGCAGGTCGCCAACCAGTCAGGCAGCCGACCGAGCGGCTAGCGCGAGGACGAGTGGCGGCAAATTGAGACTAGATAAGAACTAAACGACGAACGACTTCGAGATCCGAAACCTTCAAAGGAAGAGTCCCTTTTCTCTCCTTCCCTTTTTCGAAACATGTTTGTGAGCGTCGAGATGCATACGACGGAATCGTCGGCGGAGGGAGTCGTCGGCGTATTCAATGGTGCTATCGCAAAATATCGAGCTTCGATACCGTCTCGATACTTCCGGACTGTTTATTTTTCAGTGAATTGAATGGATCGCGAATGAGAATTTTCGGTCGGCTCTCAGGGAGAGTTTAGCACATAGCTCGAAACTCCGTGGAGCGAGAGCGGCCAGGCTGTTCTCGCTGCCTCTACCAGCGAGTACTTCAGGTAGGATGAGAATGTAGGCCTGCGGCCTGGAGATTTCCAATTAGGGTTCGCTTCCTTTCGGCGCGGACTCCACCCTAGGTTCGTGCCATCTTGAATAGCACTTTTAAAACATCTTCATCAGCCCCTCGACACGTTAAAGAAGTCAAGTCAATGCTCCTACGACGGAGATCTCTAGATAATCTTTCATTCGAACACAATTTATGCCGCAGGTAGAGTTTTTTCCTCATCGCAAGGAGGCCCCGAAGGCATAAAAATCCCAGCCCCACGAAAGGTAAATGATTCGAGGCCTAACTCCAGATTCCCGAGTCCCATGAGTTTCACGCAATGATTTTGAAAAAGAGTATCTGGTCTGACTTGAGGACGCCCAGAATAAAATGTATCGAAGCATCCCGGATGCCATAAGCCAGATTCGGACGTTCTCGAGATCGATCTTTGAGATTGGAACGTATCGAATTCTCGGAGAAACACGAATCAAGCGAAAGAGTCTCGAAAATTGTTTCGACCCTTTCTGGTAAACGAAGATTTCCCATCTTTTTCACCGTGTAGATCGGTGCCGAGGTGCAGGAAATGATAGTCGGAGGAAAGGTTGTGACAGTGATGTGAGCCCTCAAGACAAAGTGACGGACAGGCAGACAAGTTCGCAAGGGGCACATTCTGTTGCGATTACTCGAAACATCTGATCACACGACTCCTCGCAATAATTAGCCTTCAAGCTCCCCGCCCGTCGCTGCAGCTGAGACAAAGCGAATCCTTGGGGAGTGATCACACTTACGGGACGCCTCACACAGAACATGGGGATTCTCGTTAGGAGCGAGACAGCCGCAGATCGTCGCCGGGGAATATGAAGCAGAATATCACCGACGCAGTTCTTCTCGTGGGACACCGCGAAATAATCTGGCGCGAATCCTTTGCATGATGTACGCAGGAATACTTAATTTCCTTAGCTTCCGGAGTATCAATAGGGGTCTGCGAATTTTTCCCCTAAACTCTAGCTCGGTCCGTGCCTGCTATCTCTTCTGCGATCGTGAGATTCCGGCGACAGAGCCCACGACAACGGGGAGACGAACAATACAGATGACCCGTTTGCGGAGCTTCGAAAATATGTTGGTGATCCCTAGACGTCACCGGAAGTTCGCGCCGCGCCGTCTCACGGAATTCAGGTCGGAACCGAGTGTCCAAAGTCTTCATCATCCTCCTGACGACGACACACGATGTTAAGAGGTTCGTCAGGTCCGTCGTACACACGAACAGCATCAAACGGCGAAATTCGCCGAGGAAACCCTCCGAACAGATCCCAATGGACATATTGGAAGTTCATACTGTCTGCGAAATCCGCGAAGGAATGTTTTGGTGGAAAGTCGAAGACAGCCGTGGAAGCTGTCTTCTTTGATCTCGAAGTATTGCCACATCGAGCGATAAGAGTACTTGAGTCGAGGATTACTTCAATCCAAGGATCTGCGTAAACCACTTTTGAGGAGGTGATGTCATCAAGAGGCTACCGATTCCCGATTGTAACATGAAAGCGGGTTCCCTCTTCCGGTGCCAACCCCGGAACCGATGGGAAGGGGAGCCTGAACTCGTTGGGAAGAAAAATCATCCTCGTTTGAAGCCCCTATTCCTAATCTGAGATCGTCTTGCTGTGAGAGTAGACGCAAGTCTGCCCGAAGCTTGGCGGATGAAATTATTTCCGACCTTATTCACGTAACTTCGTCGACCCGGAATGCTTATCCCATCTCGAGGAGATATCTCATTGAATGCCGTTCAATGTAGGCTATCGCGGCTCAGATGAGATATGTAGACGAGGGAGATACCCTTCGGGCGAGGCGATGTCTCGCTATGCATAGGGATGACCCAGAATGAGCGGCGAAATCCTTGTATGATATTTCGCCTGGTTCTTTGCTGTTTTACGGAGCTATGATACGCCGAGCATCCTACTCACCTCGCTTTTTCTGATCCATATGACCCATAGTGGAATGGTCCATCTGGAAGGGTCCACACGACGAGTTGATCGGTCCCAAGTGATGAGTTCCCATATGATGATGCATCGGCGGGGCTAGCGTCGTCAAAGACAACGTCGACGGGTCTGGCGGAGGCACCAGATCTTGCAAACACAGGG